TATAGTTTTCAAGAAAATCACTAAAATGTGATAGTTTTTCATTAGTTAAATTTTGCAAATTACAGACAAACAGATGTAACCACAGTGATCTTTGAATTCTCGCTACATTCCCCAAATATTCAAGTTTCATATGCATCTTTTGGATCTAATCTATCTATTATAGTTTTCAAGAAAATCACTAAAATGTGATAGTTTTTCATTAGTTAAATTTTGCAAATTACAGACAAACAGATGTAACCACAGTGATCTTTGAATACTCTCTACATTCCCCAAATATTCAAGTTTCATATACATCTTTTGGATCGATTCTATCTAGTATAGTTTCCGAGAAAATCAACAAATCTAAATACATCTTGCATTCCCCAATTATCCAACTTTCATATACATCTTTTGGATCCACTCTATCTATTCAAGTTTCCTAGAAAATCACTAAACTTGAGACGTTAGCGTTACATTTCCATTATTTTATATTTGAATGTGAATGCACTGCCAAATGTACGGAACCGACAATAATTGAATACACGATTTCTGCTAATTATCATTAAACATTCCAATCATTAATTTCGATGACTAATCTAATTGGCGATTGGGGAATCCCCCCCGAAAAGTCTTCCGGTCAATCGATTTTTGTTCGAGATTAGAAGAAGCAAATTGAACATGAAATATCGAATCCAGTTAGAATGAACGTGCAAAAATGTATGTTATAATTGCTGCAAGGCATATCCACGAAAAAAAGTTTATATCGCGGGGTAACGGGTCCATCGTTCATTTATCTCTGTTGTTATGGTAACCAGTAAATAAATTCGCATAGAAACCGGCGCCAGAGACGACGATGATGATGATGATGACGCCGATGGTAATGATGTTGCTGATTATTATTGGGTCTTTTCTTTTTCTTTTCGTGTTATTGCGGCGGCGGTCTTCGTCGAGGAATGGCTTAATAGGAATCAGAAGAAAAAAAATGACGGAGGAAACTGGTTCAGCAATTTATGAACGGATATTAGAGGGATGGAGTGGAGCGATGTGGAATGGATGGAAATGCGTATGTATTTATATACAGACACATGTTGTGTGGAATGTTAATTGTCTCTTTGGACTAATAATAATTATTAATAAGTGATCTGAGGAGGCAAGGTCAGGAACATCGGCTCACCGTTTATTTCATGCTTGTCGCGCATTTGACGCAGAAATAGAGAGCTGCTGCTGCCGCTGCTCGTTCCACCACCTTTCATCCTTCCTTCAGCAGATCCAGAGCAAAATAGCAAACAATTCCAACAATCCATACTTTATGTTTACCTGCAACTTACTTCACTTTGCAAGTGAAATCGATCCTAGAAACAATACAATGTTTTTCAAATTTGTCAGTTGATTACAATTGTCAATTACAGACAAATCATAATAGCCACGTATCTGTCAATTGGAACACTGGAAAGCTTATATATTTGCCTTTCATTAGAGTATTAATTGATATGTATGCTATATATGGTAAATGAGAAAACCGATAAAAAGTGAAGATGCTAGATAAAAATATTGTTTTCAAATTTGACAGTTAAATTGACGGATAATTCGTAAAAATCACGTAGATTCTAGTAGGCTTGTTATAAAGCGTATTTCTTAAACTTTAATTGGATTATTAATTTATATTTGAGCTTTGTGTGGTAAATGAGAAAAACGATCGAATGTGAAGACACTGCTGTTTTTCAGTTAGAAAAAAAAAGTTTTCAAATTTGACAGTTAATTACATTTTGTCAACTGTCAATTACAAACAAATCGTAATTGCTAAGTAATTGTTAATAGGCTTATTTTCTAGAAAATCAGGAAAAAAAAACGAAATATTTGAACATCTCCATAAATACTTAACATATCTTTTTCAGTTTTTGAAAATTGAAAAAAAAAACTTAAAAACTGAATCACTAAATTAACAAATAAAAGTATTAATAGCCGTACATTTCTCTCTACATTCCCCAATAATCCAAGATTCATATGCATCTTTTGGATCTAATCTATCTATTATAGTTTTCAAGAAAATCACTAAGTAAGCAAGTAAGTTAAGTAATTGTTAATAGGCTTATTTTCTAGAAAATCAAGAAAAAAAACGATATATTTGAACATCTCCAAAAATACTTAACATATCTTTTTCAGTATTTGAATATTGAAAAAAAAAACTTAAAAAGTGAATCACTAAATTAACAAATAAAAGTATTAATAACTGTATATTTCTTTACTCTTCAAAACTTAAAGAATAAGAAAGTTGTAATGATAAAGCTGTAAGAACTGAATCTATTTATGTGTGTCTGTTGTGTATCGTATAGTTGTATTGTCTGAAATGATAAATGAGAGGATGCCGTTGACTACGAAGGAGAGGTTTCAAGCGTACTCGAGACTCTTTTCTCTCGTCTTCATCGTTTCGAACCATCATCATCATCATCATGATCATCACCATCAATTGAATCTATCCGTTCGCCGTTCCGTTCCGTTCAGTTGATGAATATTACGCGCCAAATCCGCTCTCGCGTTCAATTAAATAATTATCCCCCCAAATGGAATATTCCGCGGCCGAAGAGATGATTTCCTCGAAAGCACAATCGAATTAGATTGACGGTCGTCGTCTGAAGAGGTGGCGGTCGTAGGAGGAAGAGGAGAGACGCGTGTGTCTCAATTGCATTTAATCAAACACGAGGAAGAGGGGGACGCAGATTCCAATCTCGGATTTCGAATGCTGCTGCTGCTACTGCTGTTCCCAAAGACGCACTTATTACATATACCCAGTCTTTTGTCCGATACTCATTTTTTTTTCCTTTAAATTTGTTTTGTTTTCTCTTCTTCGCTGCTTTTGCCATTTGTTTTTTTTTGTTGTTGTTGTTGTTTTGTTTTGCATAATCGTTAGCGCGCCTGATGAACTCTAGCGGAATGCGGAGAATTTTTGCAGCGGATCGCATTGACCTTATGCACGTTCTTCAGTTTCCAGGTTTGGAGGCGCCGTTGGAGATGCTCGACGTCGATGCACGAAGAGCGGTGCTTCCGACGGACGTCGATCTGGATCATCCGTCTAGAGATCTCCTCCGTAGGCTGCTGGAAATGGAGCCGACGAAGAGGCTGCGCTCGTTGCGCACCCTACACACCATAGCCTTCTACAAAGATTTCAGCTTCGAGGACGTCAGAAACAGGAAGGTGGTGAGTGGAATTTAACAATTTTTGCATACAACGAATTCCAAATATCGCAGATAAGTCCGAACGAGCTGATGAGGAGATTCTATCCGCACGGTTTCCAGCGTTCCTCTTCCACGATTCAGGTGGACGGTTTCGATGCGGACATGATCGAGACATGATTTTAATTATAATCGATATATCATTTAGTATTAATTATTTAGTTGTAGTAAATTGAAGATTATTTTTAGAATCGATTAGCGTTTTCATTATTCCATCCGCAATCTTTTGTAATTCGTTATCAGCGTCTTCGGGCGTCGCTCGTGTGCGCGCTCCTTCCTAAATTGGAAACGTCGTGGCATTGAAAACAACCTCCACTCTGCTGATGCTTTAATTTGACGATAATTCCGTTTTTTTTTATTATGTAATTACGCTCTGAGCGCGAACATTATTAACTAATTATTTAGTTACACTCTCAAAATATCCGTAGACGTAGCATATCTGTTGACTCGTTTTTCTTACGTTCATTTTATTGAAGGAATGCAAGAAAAAAATGTAATATTAATAAACATAAATTAATATTTCACAAATGACTAGAATTAAACGATTAAACAAACTTTCATTAATCTTATTTTAAATGTGAATTGGTTTTTGAGATAGGCCACCAAATTTGCACTATTTAAATTTTGATTTTTTTTTTAAACTATTTTGAATTGAGCGCACTTTGCTGATGCTATTGTTATTAATGTATGCTAATCAATCAATGCGAATGTGGGGGTTGTTTAAGCGTTTATGAAATGCAAATGCAATCAAATTAGCGGCGTTTCTTTTCGTCCGATATCGGATGACTGCAAATATTTGCTTCTGCGAGTAAATTAATTTCTACGATGGATAAATCTTCGTGGATGTTTGTGTATTTATGTGTGCGAAGCGACGTTGGGTCTATTTTTAAAAGCGGCGTTCACGTATCGATTTCCTTTCGCACATCCTTCGAACGCGACCACCCCTCCGGTTCGGGGGGATCTTGCGCAATCGGGAATTCCGATAAGATCCGTGCATTTCCCTCGCGACGTCCACCAGGATTGATTGATCAGGAAAGGTGAGTTTTCTTTGGCAAATCGGATTGTTCAATTGTTTATGCTGTTGTTGTTATTTGTAGATGCCGAGCTCTAGGAAGATGATCCTGGGGCACGTCATGTCCGGGCTCTGCTCGAAGATGAACCGGACGAAACAGCTGCCCGCCGATGTCATGGAAACACCTCTGAACAGATGCCTAAACACCTTCGACATCACGTTGCTAGGTATGCTGTGTATCGGATGTAGATTGTTTTGCTGATGTGGCGTGTTTCAGGTGTGGGGCACATGGTGGGCGCCGGTATCTACGTGCTGACGGGGACTGTTGCCAAGGAGATCGCCGGACCTGGAATCATCATCTCGTTTCTGCTGGCCGGTTTGGCCTCGCTTTTGTCCGCTTTGTGCTACGCAGAGTTCGGGACGAGATTGCCGAAAGCTGGATCAGCTTACGTTTACACGTACATAAGCATAGGGGAGTTTTGGGCTTTCGTCATCGGTTGGAACATTCTGCTCGAACATATGATAGGTATTTTAATTATATTCGTTTGGTTTGAGTCAATAACTTTGTTTCGTTTGTAGGGGCTGCGTCCGTGGCGAGGGCTTGGAGCGGTTACGTCGATTTCCTCTTCGGCGGCGTCATCAGCAACGCGACGCTCTCGATAACAGGGGAAATGCACGAGGAGTTGCTGGGGAAATACCCGGATCTTCTCGCGTTCGTCGTCTGCATAGTGTACGCCCTGCTGCTGGGCATCGGGGTGAAAGGATCGGCGATCGTGAACAGCTTCCTCACCGTGATCAATCTGAGCGTGATGGTGCTGGTCGTGGTCGTCGGATTCTATTATGCCAACGAGGAGAACTGGACGACGCCGAAAGGAGGATTCCTTCCGTACGGCTTCAGCGGTGTTCTGGCTGGAGCGGCGACGTGCTTCTACGCCTTCGTTGGGTTCGACAGCATCGCGACCAGCGGCGAGGAGGCAAAGAATCCGAGCTTCTCCATTCCCATGGCGACGGTGCTCTCGATGGGCATCGTCACCTTGGGCTACATTCTCGTTTGCGCTGCTTTAACACTCCTGGTACCTTATTACAATATTAGTGATAGTGCGGCTCTGCCCGAGGCGTTCTCAGGCGTCGGCATGCATTGGGTCAAATACGCCATCTCCATAGGAGCCATCTGCGGCATGACCACCACCCTCTTTGGGTCCCTCTTCTCGCTGCCGAGATGCATGTACGCGATGGCCAGTGACGGACTGCTCTTCAGCTTCTTAGGCGACGTCAACTCGAAAACCCAAGTGCCTCTAACGAACTTAGTGATCTCGGGCGTCTTCTCCGCGACGATCGCTCTGCTCTTCGATCTAGAGAAGTTAGTCGAATTCATGTCGATCGGAACGCTACTCGCGTACACCATCGTCAGCGCGTCCGTCATCATCCTCAGATACAGACCGACCCTATCCCCGTCACGCTCCATCCTCACTCTGGGCTCGGAAATGTCTGTCTCCACTTCAGAACCAACAACGCCCTCAGAGATCGTCAACATGGCCGGTACTCTTCGCGTCAAATACAGCTGGTTAACACCGGTCCTTGGTAACTGCGAACCTGGAAGCGCCGTCTCCACCTCCGTCTTCATTTACACCGTCTTCTCCGGCGCCCTCTGCATCCTCATCCAAGTCTCTTCGCGCGACTTGAGCAACGGCATCTGGTGGACCATAATCTTAGCGGTCTCTTTCATATTCATCATGGGAGCATGTAATTATCAAAAATCGTAAATTCTTCAAAAATCTTCAAATTTCACTGTTTCAGGTATGCTGGTCATCGTGGCGCACCACCAGAACAACGAGGGTCTCAGATTCAAAGTGCCGATGGTACCATTCCTTCCCGCCCTCAGCATACTGTGCAACCTCGAGTTCATGATCCATCTGAACATATTGACTTGGCTGCGTTTCTTCGTCTGGATGGTCCTCGGAATGTTAGTATACTTCTTGTACGGAATTCACAACAGTAAAGAAGGTGAGACGATGTCCACTTATTCGATGCTGATGAACTCCTCGGAAGCGGTCAAAGAGAAATGGGGAGCGACGACTCGGACCAACATCAAAGGCGTTCTGACGCGTCGCAAATCCTCTACGGCTGGTGAAAGGAACGCCATCATCGGCGACGAAGACGACGACGTGCCATAAACCAACTCTTCATTTATCTTTGCGTTTCATTTCGTAGAAGCACTTCATTTTCTAGGCTCTCCGTGTAAACTAAGGCATATTATATCAAAAGAAATACAAAAAAAAACAAAAACAAGGCGCACACCTGTTTCATCAAAAGAGTAGAGAAGAGAAACGCACTCGGCGTAAATTACAAATTTGACAATAATAATGTTTGTTGGAATTTGCGTTCGAGAGAGTCTGGATTTAGAGGTTTTCAGTTAATTCACACTACTAGATGGAGAAATTATATATATATATTTAAAGTTAAAATATAATATTTGTTGAACAGAATGCCTAAGTATTTATATGTATAAATGTATTAAAGAAATATGTCTATGTAAATAATGAGAAACATCCAGAATGTACGAATATTTTCAGCGTTAATTCCAATTATTTCTTTGAAAGTAAAAAGACAAAGCACCAACAATCTTCTACACATGTACAATACTCATGTAATAAAGTATATAACGTTCCCTAAGCAATCATTAAATATTATGTAATTTCAGCATCGCTAATTGCAAATTACAGATCGTAATCAAAAACTAATTTTAATTACAGGTTAGCTATGAATACTAAAGGTGGCGCTGTTTAGGTAAAAGAGGTTTGCATACTTCCACCAATTGCAAAGCTCGGAATAGTGACAGAGGTTAATTATGACAGATTAATTGTCAACGTGCACTCAGACGGTGTCAAAATTGGAATTTTCGCGATTTTCCGATTTTCATCAATTAAATCGAACCTTCTAAGTGGAAGGACTGAAGCCGCAGCCGAAGATGCTAAGGAATTCGATTTGCTAACACTCGTATCACCGGATTTTTCAGGTGAGTGTTGTGAGAACGCACGATCAAAACAAAAACACGACAGTCTGCATCACTGACGTGTCCATGAGCGTTTACCATAATAGCTGATTGTTGTTAGCAGGAAAGTAACAGCAGGAGCCAGCATGGAGAGGAGACGTAACGTGAAGGGCAAAGATTCGAGCTCGAGCATGGAAAATGGGCAGACCATGAAGAGCTCTTCCAGTGGCAGCCTGAAGGGTGATGGAAAGAACATTGCTCTGCTCTTTTTCTTGTACACGCTGCAGGGAATCCCGCTCGGCCTGAGCGCTGCCATACCGATGATCCTGCAGAATCGTGGAGTCAGCTACAAGCAGCAGGTAATACAATTGTTTTTGCCTGGCTTCTTAACCGAATAATCTCATTTGTGGACTTTTTGAAGGCCGAATTTAGTTTTGTTAACTGGCCGTTTAGTATAAAACTACTCTGGGCGCCTATTGTAGATTCAATGTTTTCCATGCGGATTGGTAGGAGGAAAACGTGGATGGTGCCCACTCAGTACCTGATTGGGGCGTTCATGCTTCTGCTGAGCAGTCACGTGGATCTGTGGTTGGGGGCTGACGGAAACGAGCCGAACATTGGTATCCTGACCGCACTGTTCTTCTCTTTGAACTTCCTTGCCGCCACTCAAGATATCGCCGTCGATGGCTGGGCTTTGACCATGCTGAAGAAGAGCAACGTGGGGCACGCGTCCACCTGCAACAGCGTCGGCCAAACTGCAGGTTTCTTCCTCAGCTACGTCCTATTTATGGCCTTGGAGAGCGCAGACTTTTGCAACAGTTACCTGAGGACTGAACCGGAAAACGAGGGTTAATACTGCATTATTATTATTTCTTTTCCTTATGTTAATTTAAATTTTCTGCAGGCATCGTCACCCTTGCCGGTTTCCTGTACTTCTGGGGCTGGATATTCCTAATTACGACGACGGTCGTGGCCTTTCTGAAGAAGGAGGAGCATCGCGACGAAGACAATTCTGAAGACAACAGGGACCTAAAGAAGGCATACTCGAGTTTGCTGCAGATCCTGAAGCTGCAGCCGGTGCAAACGTTGGTGCTCATCCTGTTGACAGCAAAAGTACGTTGCGACGAAATTCGTGGCCTAGTTTTCATTTACGCATTTTCTCGTAGATAGGCTTTTCCGCCACGGACAGCGTGATGACTTTAAAGTTGGTGGAAGCCGGAATCCCGAAGGAGAGACTCGGTTTGCTGGCGGTTCCATTGATTCCCTTGCAAATTGCGTTGCCCTTGGTCATCGCGAAATATACAACAGGTAAGAGGAGATATCGCAGTTTGTTCGTGTCAGTAACAGTTGACATTACGAATGATGGACGAACCGTTTTCGGTATTGAACATGAACCACGACTATTTCCTGCAAGATCTGTCGATGGCACGACGGGAGGCTGCGGCTCGAATCCTCCAGCGTTTCTTTAAATATCTTTATCGGAGATGCTTGTTCGGGCGAGTCCGGAGGAGGCTCAGGGAGTTATCCCGCGAGAATCCCAGGATGTTGTTTCGTAAACTCAATTTGGGCGGGAGATTCGATCGAGCTTTGAACAACAAGTTCGTTTTTCGACTGAACGGTCAACAGTTTCCTCCGACGATTATATATAAAGTGATTACTAATATATCGGTGTTGAATGTGAACGATGGCAGCATGATAAAGCCGAGCGACAGCTGCTGGAGGTTTTACAGGAATGTCGGTAGCGCCGAAGCAAAACGCACGACACGCGTTGTCGCGAAGAACAAGCATCGCATCAAATGGATCGAAGAGAAATACATGTGATTTTTGTTTTTTTTTGCTTGTTGAATAGGACCGAAACCGTTGAAGGTGTACACGAAAGCGATTCCTTATAGGTTGATGTTCGGTTTCGTCGCTGCTTTGCTGGTGTGGATCACGCCGAAATTGGTGCCCGATGCCTCGGAGGGTTTACCCGTCTACTATTACGCACTTCTTTTGATTTGTTACTCGTTGCATCAAGTAAGTGTTTTGTTGAAGATTCGATCTAGGAGTGCGCTCATTTGAATCGTCTTTTGTTTTGGTTAGGTTTGCGTTTATAGTATGTTCGTATCGTGTATGGCGTTTTTCGCGAAGATCAGCGATCCTCTAGTGGGCGGTACCTACATGACTCTGCTGAACACGGTGACCAATCTGGGCGGTAATTGGCCGGCAACCTTATCCCTCTGGCTCGTCGATCCACTCACGTACAGGGAATGCGTGGGCGGGGTCAACAACGACGACAACTTGTGTCGCACTTCGCTCGAAAAGGAGGTTTGTTTATTGTGTCCACCGCTTGCATTAATCTCACTCTAATTTCGCTCTTCTTTCGGCAGCTGTGCGCCAAGAACGAGGGTAAATGCAGCATTTGGTTGGACGGTTATTACGTGGAAACTGTTGTCTGCGCAGCAATTGGTTGCCTGTGGCTGCGCTGGGCGCGGTCTCGCATCCAGAAGATCCAATCGCTGGACGAGGACGCCTGGAGGCTCTCTAAACAGACAAAATAACAGTTACATTCATCAACATTCCATCGGGGCTACACGTACACGGACGATTTCGCAGTGGCAATCAACAGTTAGTGTTCCTACCGATTTCTAACGTTTCTTTTGTAAATTATTATTTCTTTGATTTTCGTTATTATTCGAGCACCATCAAGTTATTATCAAAGTAATAATTTCAGGTGTGAATTTTGTTAACGTTTTATATGTGTATATGGGAATCACGACGGTTCGGTCGATTTGTGATTGATTGTTAAGACAGAAGAGGTATCATTTTCTTTTTTTCTTATATACGGAAACCTTGTGACAATACGAAGAAATGCGTTTAGTTTTGATTTATCCATTCCGTACGTCTCAACTGCATCAGCACCGTTTGTTATACAGTTTTTTTAAAATAAGAAAATATATTTTATAATAAAATAATTATATAAATTAATCGTATAGTCGAAACAAAACAAAATAAATATCAAAGTATTAAAGAGTGTTGTCTTTTGAATTGGATTTATGACTGTTTTTTTTTTCTTGTACAAATTTAGTAAATTTCAGGTGCAGAGAGAGAGAGAGAGAGGATAAGATTAAATATATATAATTTAATAACGATAATAATGAGATATTAATACTATTGTGTTTTTCTTCTTCACTATGCAGCAACGTCGAAGAACTTGTCGATTTTGGTGACCACTTCGTCCGGTTTGTATTTGATGTACTTTTCAGGATTCTTCGTGAATTGAACGACGGAAAAGCTGTGAATTCAATTTAATTAATTAATTTATGAAACAAGACAAAGATAGTATTCGAAACTTACATATTGTAGAAAGCATTGTATTTGGGTATTATGTACTCCTTGTTATCCCTTTTCAAACTTTCCCGCAGCTCGACGTCAGGAATGGAATAGCCCCGTTGCACCTTCATCATCTCTTCAATCTCCTTGTTGAAGCCCTGTAGAAGGTATACTAAGTGTGAATATTTCGAGGAAAGTAAAAGTTATTTCGTCTTACAGCAAATTTCTCTTTAAGGAAGGCTCGTTCTTTGTCCTTCAATCTGTCGGTGTGTTGCAGATTCACCGGGAAATCATCCGTGGTTATGTAATTAAGAAGTTTATTCCAGCTGATTGAAAAAAATAATAAGTTAATATGTAAATAATGAATAGATTATATATAAATACCTTTGCAGGTATGCCTTCTTGTGTTCCTGTATTGAATTGTAATAGTACTCCTCGCACTTCGGCTCCGAGATTAGATACAGTTCAAGCAGATTGCTCCTCTGCAGCGACTTCAGCACGTAATTATTGTTGTTCAATCTGAAGATGGATTTGAGCGCTGCGTCGCTGTACTGCTCGCTCTTGCTTATCAGAGTATGATTCAACTGCACAAGAACCTTTTCTGTAAACACGAACAGCATGATGTATAAAGAAGCCTCGATCTCTTCCGCGCAACATACTTATGTAGAGGCCGATGTACGCTTTGCTCTTATCCGACACGTTGAGCTTCTCCAATTGACTGCTGTAGTTGGGGTCGTCTGCCAGAACTCTTCCGATGGTATCCATATACTCCAAAAGCTGCTCCAAGAACATGAGAACGTTGCTGGTGAGTTCGTGCACCGTTCCATCCTTGGGCAGTTGCGACACCGAGTCCAGACGAAGACTCTCTATGAAATCGTCCAAAGCTTTCACACCCTAAAACACATTTTTTTAATTCCCAGAACACAATTGCACGAAGATTACGTTACCGTCGCATGGAGCGTCCTCAAGATCGAATCGAACTTTGATCGAACGTTCGCGTCGCATTCTTCAAACGTCCTCTCGAATTCCGGCTTAAGGGAGAGAAGCTGCTTCAGAATTGGGAATATTATGAGGACAGCTCCGAAATCGTGTCTGCTGATGCAACGTTTTGCGCGAGCTGCGATGTTCTGCAAAATTAGAAGATCACATTTGCAATTGCGCAAAGATACTAGTCCGATCTCACCTCGCCGTCCTGGACGATGTTGTCCATGGCTTCCCTGACGATCAACTCGAAGACTTTGGCCTGATGATTTATAGAGATGACTCCTTTCATCAAGTTCTGCTCGTTCTGCATCAACTTGTGCAGAGCCAAAACGCACACCAGATAATTATCCATCTCCTGTTCGCTATCCAATTCCTCGGTCGCATTCGATGGATCTGCTTTGTGGAGATCGCATTCAACTAAAAATCTAATCGAGAGTATTTCTTACCGAGATGTGTCGAGGATCTGCGACCGCCCAGAGTTAAACCGGTGGAGTGCTCCAAAGTCTGAGAGGCCTTCAGCAGCATACGATTGGCTTTCTTCTCGAAGACCTGGTGCAGCCTCCGCGTCGATGGTTTCCTAGTGGCCTCGTGACGATTTTGAAATTTCGGCCTCTTAAATATCCACATTAACGTTACACTATATACAATATCAATTTAAATTGCAACATACAAACATAGGTGATCCCATCCCGCCGTGATTGCTTCCCCCGCTTACGGATCTCTGATGGTTCCTCAGCAAGGTCATCGACTTCTGCAGAACGCTACCGCGGACTTTACCGTACACCGTCAGGAATTCATCCCTCTGGTTCTCCCACAGCCAATTGGCGATTTTGATCAAATCCTGCATATGTAGATCGGGAATCTGCGGCGGGGCACTCGGTACATCCTCATTTGAAGTGTCCTCATCGTTGTTCAGCAAATTCATCAGAGCAACAGGCAGCATAGGTTTACTATGCTTATCCAAAATACATTTGAACTCGAAATGCAATTTATCGCTGCCTTTATTGAACAGGGAAGCCTGAAAAAATCAACTATAATTTTGTACTTGAACCACTCACACAAAGCCACATACCACATTTTCCAATTCTACACTTTGTGGGATGTGTTTTTCAAAGTACTTCTGTGCTCTGGCCAATCTATTCAAAGACTGTATGTACAATTCCAGATCTATGCCACCCTCAGATACAACTCCAGGACCTTTCTCAATTATATCCTCAACACGAGAAGACACTTCATAGAAACCAATCACATTGTCCAACAGTTGCAGGGTTCTGTCAATGTCTGTTCAGTAATTAATATGATCAGTCTATGAATTAATATGGATATGCAATGAAATATTTACTGTGTTGCGATTTCTGTAGATTTTCTGTTTCATTGTAGACAGGTAGGATGGTGTCCTCGAGGCGAGATAGCCTCTGCTCAAATGTGTTCAGAATGGTGTCTATGCCTTTGGCCATCTGTGCACTCTTCGTTATCCTCTCCTGAAGAAGCAACAAATTTGCTTGTTCCTTTAAATGATATTGATGAAACAATATTATTATCCTAACATTACTTTGACACAATATTATATTAATCTACCTTCTCCAGTTTATTACTTATTTCGAACTTCTTCTCGTCCATCATATTCATATTGTTGTTATTGCCACTATCAAATTCGATATTGTTTACGTACACTGAATGTTGTGGACATAATTTTTACATGGATGGGCGAGCCAACAATATCGGAATCATACTCAATTGGATTCAGTGATTTTGATACCGTTATTTCATACCAGATGTCATTGCAATCAATTGCATATCATACTTAGTCCACTATAAGTACATGTACTTAGGTATTATCGGATACATGATACAAATTATATTTGTACCATGGTATATTCGAGTTAGTGGTTGATTTTATCCTTCATGTTTGAATGCGGATTATAGTCGAATGGATAAAACAATTAAAACAAAACTCGTTGCATTACCCAAATATCTAACTTTCATATGCATCTTTTGGATCAATTATATCTATTATACTTTCTGAGAAAATCACTAAAATGTGGAACACGGCCTTAATTTTTCGGATATTGATTAGATTAGAAGGGTTTCCCCACAGATTGGATGATAACAAATATGAATTGTTTATAAAAATTAATATAATAATACATTTACAATTAAATTATATAATAAACAAGCATTTTGGGCAACGAAAACTGCAGGACTAGCGTTAACCGACAAGTGTAATTAATTTAATACTTTAAATTGAACGTCGAATAGAAATATCATGAATTCTTATTGCTCAATGAATTGCCGGTACATCTACGCTGCTGGAATACTCAGATAAGTTATATTTTATAACGTTAAAAAGGAATTCATATTGTGCCTGGAAAAAGAAAGAAAATGAAGCAAATACGATAAAATTTGCAGAACGAAAGCTTCCTTACTAGATCATCCATGAAATCGTCCCTATAGTATCTCAAAGATCTAATAGTCGTAGAGACATTGCACATTTGCTCGTTGGTGAGTTGATCGTGAACATCTTGGAAGGTCAAAAGTAAACCGCAACCTTTGGCCCCGTCACTGAAATTCAAATAAAAACCATTGGTGATATGTGTCAAGAAAAGAAATGAAATCAGAAATATACCTGCAAACTAAAACCACGTTCCTGTCGATTTCCGAACTCCTGTAAATATCAAAGCACTGCAAGAAGTTCTCATAATTCGGAAAATTGTTGCTGGGCCACGCCTCGAAGTGCAACAGAGTCACGCTGATGTTACCGTCCTTTCCTCTCACTTCCAAATTGTATACCTGTATAAGCGGTTCCTCACTGAACTCTAGCAGATGAACGGAAAGTACGTTGTCCAAAACGAACGGGTTACCATCTTGGGGCCAGAAAACGTTCTGCAAATCGAAGGTAATGTTAATCAGTGCGGCTTTTAATGAAATTAAATTTAACACTTGCTTCCAGGACATCTATGGTGTGCAGCACGAAAATGATCTCGGTCTTGTGCAGATATATCAATCTCCAGAAGTCGAACACTGTGTTGCTTAGTGGTTGTTGCGTGCAGATCATCGATTTTGCCCTTCTACCGCTGATTTTCACCGCTGCGATGTAGTAGGATTGATCGTCCGAATGTAACCTATCCAGATAAAGCACTCCAGTTCTACCTGAAGAAGCATATTTGTATGTTAGTACTAATCATGACCGTTTGATGGAATTGCTTACTTCTGAAGGGTTTGTTCTGGTTCCGATGTTTCGCCTTGTTCAACTCGTAACCAGGCTGAACGGCGCATCCCATCACGCCCAGCCAGTAATTGTTGTCATTAACGTATCGGAGCTCTTCTTCTGGAATGCGAGTCATCAGCTGGTCCATGTGCAGATTGGTGGATTCGCCGTTCACCAGCTCGTTCAGCGCGCAGTAGACGAACTTGTATTGCAGCTGAAAAACGGTAAATCGCAAGTAAGTTTGATGTTTCATCCACTTTAACGATTTTACCAATTCGCTCAGCAAGCGTTTTCGTTCCTTCCGAAGTTGAGCCAAAGTCATGGGAACATCGATTAGCATATTCCACTTGATTTGCTCCCACAATCTGTCCACTAGTATATAGACACCAGTCCTGTTGATACCAGCGCTGAAACAAATATACACCAATTTGTATTAGCTATTGCTACCATATTTCACTAAATTGACAATTATTTCTTTTCGGAATTGTGAATGGTGAAAGTCAAAAAAGCACCTGCAATGCACTACCACCGGATAACTCGTATTTTTATAGTTTGCGACGACCCTGACAAACTCCACGAAGGAACTCGGCCTGACGGGAATCTCGTGATCTGGCCAGGCGGTGAAATGGAACTGTCTGACGAGTTTGCTGAAGCCCTCCGCGTTCCTCAATTTGCACGTCCTCACTGTGTAATCCAAATGCACCTGCACCTCTTCCAAGGACACAGCCAAACCGGCGGTCAGGTTCATTGCGGTATCCAACTCTGGCCAATATTGTGTGCCCTTGGTGTTTCCATTCTCCACGAGGTTCGTCAACATCACCACAACGGACACTTCATTCTGCCAGACCATGCGCCAAAAGTCCGAGACGCTGTCCGCGACCGGACACTGCGTCGCTATATAAGAGTTCTCATTCTTCGAATTCTGCAAGAACCAATGATAATAGTATTCTTCGCGACCAGAAATTTCACTTACCTGCAAGAAATTAGCGTTGATGTACCATGAGTCAACATCGTCCGGCAAAAGATCCAAGTGTACGTGCGTGCTGTAATCTGAAATGCGCAAAGATTGTTTTCGTTTCGAATTGAAACTTAGTTAATGCTTTACTGGGCAGGATGTTCCTGTAGCGGTTCTTCTTTTCGAAATTACGGCCGATAGTTTTCGCATTCTCGTTGTACGGAATCGACTTGAATTCGGTTTCCAGCATGTCCACGACGTTCTTATCCTTGATGAACATGTTTAGACTTGCAGCGCTCAATTGGTTGGAGGCAATCCTGATTAACGGCAGCATCTGGTACACCTCCGATAAGCTTTTCTTCCTTGAAATCGATGTTAAATATTATTTTATGTACTGATAACATGAGATGGACCATCAGAAAAAAGGTTTTCAATTCTGGATGCTTTAACACATAATTTACCTAAATAGTTTGAAGTAGAGCAGAAGTATCACCAGAATGATTATGATAGTCACGGCAAAGCAGACTACTAGTATTATCCACACAGACGAAGTATCATCATCGGGATTGCTAATTAATATACGATTTTGCATACAATTATTAACCATAGACTTGATTTTCTCGCCCAACACCTCTTTATTCTTATACTTGCTCTTTAAGTATATGTTAAAATCAGTTTCCGTCGTTAAATTGATCTGGATATCTTGGAAACTCCGAATATTTGTATCGTAAAGTATAGTACCGTTGAGCGCCTCCACGACAATTGTGCTGCAATATCCAGCGATATAAGCTATATATTATAATGAAAAATCAGTGCAGCATCTTACTTATTGGAATCTGTCGTCATAAAATCTACTTTCTTAACAAAAATGCTAAACACATCTCCCCTCTGACATCTCACCTCCGTCAACTTTCCCACTGGGGGATAGACCATCATGATGCCAGTTGCACTAAAGACAACTTTTCTATTGTTATAACCCAGCACCGTTACGGATTTAAGATCCAAAGTAAAATTCGTGTTAAATTGAAATTCATTGCCTTTGAACGAGTGATTCGCCAATTTCCCTGCAAAGACAGTAAAGCTACTTATTTTAGATCTAGTGGATACTCTTCCCATAATCGTCCCATTCGTATAGTACTTGACAGCAGTCACATTTCCTGAAACTATTACACAAGTTAATATGATTTCGAAACACCGTTACACAGCAGTTGCAAATTACTCAGCGTCTTTTGTCTTATTGTAGATGACAAATATTTAACCTTTTTGCCATCCAAAAGTTCCACCTGCAATAATGTTAATATTAAATACAGCTTTGGCAGCTACTATATTATTACCATAATAATGAAATTACTATTTTCTTTCAAATTATCGATTACAAAACTATTTCCAGTTATATTTTCTTCCATTATACGTTTTGCATTGGTATAAAGAATCCTATAGTTTTTCGCCACTTTATCTTTGTCCCACTCCAAAGTGAAGGAATTATACGTCACATTCGTTGTGTATATATTAACTAGAAAGAAAATAAAATTCATATTAGACCCAACTATAAATGCCTCAATTACTTAATTCTGGGGTTGACAGACTGAAAACGTTGGATTTACATAATCCATCCTTTGATGTTACCTGAAAATACAACACATTATATACATAAAAATATGCAATCATATTAAGATACTGACCTGTAAAATTATTTTATCGTTATATTTGAATCCTTCCACGTAAGCTAATTTATTCGTCTTCAATACTTTACTACTCTTATCATTAGTAGAATTATAAGTAATTATATACTGATTCGCTTTGCAATAATCTTGAAGTGTCCATAAGATAATTATATCATTGAAATATGTAGCAGCCTCCAATTCAATCCCTGAAAACAGAAAATACATACTGCGCGTAGATATCATAATATAAAATAATTACCGTCCAAATATATATTAAAAGGTTCGGAAACAAACATAACATTATTTCCCTTATTAAGTTGAATCTGAAAATAAAGTTTTTCATTCTCACAATTGCATTCACCATTCTTGTGTAATATATTACCTGTATTGGGTTAGTGGGATTCGAGAAGTTTTTAAGTACGATGTTATCCATAGTGTTATTGATTGTATCATTGCCGAAGATACGATTATCTGTTACGTATCTGACGTAATAATGATCCACTACATCTTCAGATACTTTTAACTTCAATTTAACTTCGTTCATCATCGTTTCTGATGTTACAGTCGCTGAAACAAAATGTATTTATAAAACACTTTAGTTTTATTCCATAGACTTACTCATTGCTGGTGTTCTAACATAAAATGTATCGGATTCGCATTGGGATACTCCAAAAACCTAAACATACAATCAATGTTATTGATATATTTGTATTTGAATTTATAAGGAAACAGATACCTTTACTTCTAATTCGGTACGATTTGAGATCTTGAAATTATGTTTGCACTTTAAATTCTCGCAATTCACACTTGTTCCATTAACATGTATCTTATATGGCCCTTTGCAGGTACTGGTATTTTCTATATCCACCACAATCTCATCGAAAAATGTACTGAAACTATCTAAAGGGAGTGAATCGAAACTATTATTCGTAAATATCGCCTCAAAAATGATGGACATACCAATGTTGAGCTTTTTTGCTTCGATTGTGTATGGCTGCAGCAATGGGAGTAGCAGCAGTAGGAAAAACTTGAATTTCCTCATGTTCATCTTCAAATGTGATGCATGAGACTGGGGCCAGCTATTAATCACAATCGAAGCCATTTCAATTCACCGATAATGTTATGTTATCTGTAAATAATTCGATATGAGCTAATCAGCTGTAGGTTGAAAAATGCGTTAGGCGCGGTAAATAAATATTGCAATGGCACTTTTACTAGATTAGAATTGGCAAATAGGAAATGATTAGATCTGCATATCGGGACAAAAGATATCGATTGAATAAATGTGATGTAATGAATTATTTAATTATTTCCAAATTAAGTATTTTACAATATTATATCTGTTCAATTAAATAATATGAAACTATAAATAATTTTTGCTTAATTAATTACTAGGTTAAATTTTGATATTGATGATGATTGTTTATCGAACGATTTTCTGTATCGATGAAAAAACTTTCGCGATATTCGATCTGAGATCCCATGAACACTGATTTTTGATCACCTTTAAATATAATATCTTTCTCCATTTCATCGCAATCTGGATGTACCGATAGCATGGGAAATACTTGTTGCTTCAAATCATCCTCTAGGCCTCTCTCTTCTTGTATTTCAGGTTGAATCACGCTTTGTTTTTTCCTGTTCTCTAAAGACTCACGGTGCATTCTTCGAGTCCTAAATGTAAAAGAAAACTGCTATCAATAATAATTCTATTTCTTTTAAACCATAATAAATTGTTGATTCAATATCTAAAATTTAAATTTTCGATAATGCAATTGAAAATATATATATTCCAAAGATTATTTTGTATATCATATTGGAAAAGAGTTTCAATTGTATTATCATTACAAAAAACAAGTATGTGTTATATTTGATGTATTAATTTGTGATTGAAATCAAATAAATCAAATATAAGAATTTACATGAGAAAACTTACTGTTTAAGCTTGAAGTAGAACAGCAAATTACACATGATGAAGATAATAGTCACGGCAAGGCAGACTACTAGTATTATCCACACAAACGAAGAATCATCGTCGGATTTGCTAACTAATAAACGTGTTGCCGAACAATCATAAAGAAACAACTTGATTTTCTCTCCAAACGACTCTTCTTTGCTATACTTGCTCTTTACGTATATGTTAAAATCATTTTCCGTCGTCAAATTGATCTGGATATCTTGGAAACTCCGTATATTTGTATATCTCATCGAAAAATGTACTGAAACTATCTAAATGGAGTGAATCGAATCTGTTAATTCTAAATATCTTCTCAATAATGAAGGACATACCAATGTTGAGCTTTTCTGCTGCGATTGTGCATGACTGCAAAAGTATAAGGAGCAGCAGTAGGAAGAACTTGAATTTCCCCATGTTCATCTCGTAATGTCACTCATTAAATTGTCCTTTGTTGATTCGATATGAAATAATCAGATGGCTGTGAAAAATGCAATGGGCGTAACGATATTCCTTGCAAAAAAAATTATACAATATAAATCTATTAGATTAAATATGCAACATATTCTTATCGCTAATAGATATAAAATGACACTTTAATATTTCCATTAAAGGATTCGAGTAATCGCGAATACTTACTTCTTTCCAACTTCAACAACTAAAAATCTAAGAATAAGGTTGATCTCTTTTTACAGGATTGTTGAAAAGAAGAAGTTGGATACTCCTATCCTCTATCGAAAAAAAAATAATGGATTGGAATTGGGAATTACGAACAATCAATGTACAAATAGTTACTTAAAAACTGGTATGATGTATTTAATTATGTGGGAATACTAAATGTTTATTTAAGAGTGTAATGGCAATATGAAGACATGAGTAAAATACTATCCGTTAAATTAATCTGTTTAATGGTAAGACTGCCTAACTAATGACTATTTTGAATCTTGTGGTGTAAAGTAATTATGTTTTAGATTTCTTGTGCGTGTCTTCGCGGAACGCGTATGTTGATGACCTGTCGATGATCCATGGGATGCATTAGTTCCGCTTTCCGCTTCCATTCCATGCGTCGACTCTCGTTCTTCCTACGCTTCCGGTCCACGTAACCAATAACGCAACTGGCAGGTATCCAGATGAGAGCTGTTACCAGGACAACGGTACCAACAATATTGTCGCGCAGGAAGAGCAGCACCTTGTTGATATTGATATCTTCGATGATATCCCAGAAACGCTCGACCACATCCTGGATTGTCTTCTCGCAGTTGCCTTTATTACAAAAGCCTTGTATGCAGGGCGTACCATCGGGCAGAATGTCAGCCGGTTCCACAGGAAGACAGCTCTCGTTCATGCTCATGCGGCAGCATCTTCTGCATGCGTTCAAAACTACATTAAAACAACAACAATGTTAATTATGTATGTATGCTTAATATGTTACATCAGTTACTTACTGGTATCGCACATGCAACTTTGCAGACCTTGCGTTTCACAGTAAGGCGTGCACTTTCCGCTCCGACATTTTCCTCTCTCCTGGCAGTCGGTGCCATCGGCGACGGGAGGACTTCGGGGACACTCGGCTTGGTATCCGGTGCAAACAGATTGCTGTTCGCAGGTCGCATATTGCGCCTCCCTACACTTCATCCCTTTCTGCATGTACTGGCAGTTCTGACAGCAGGGCGAGTTTTTGTCGCTGCAAACTGCACCCTGACCCCGCCTCAACTTGCAATCCTTGTCGCAGCAGGCATCATTGTCCTCTGTTCCTAGAAGACCCGCGTCGCATTCCTCATCCCCTTCTACACGCAGATTACCGCAGAAACTCTCCTCCGGCTCTGAAAAGCATCGACCGGATTTCGCTTGCAATACTTTTCGAATGGACCTCAAACTGCAAGGGGAGAATCGCTTGTTGTTTACGTCATATCCGCTCACACTGTACGTGTACATTAGATATGAGCCCCCTTGGCTCGCGCTAGGCGAGCACTCCGGTATGTCAGGATCGTGTTCCGAGCCCCAATTGTGACCAAATTCGTGTGCCGTTACAAGATCTGCTTCGCGCGTGATCACCCTCTGACCGTAATGATTCCTACTCGAACTCAGTCCGGAATTCAAGTATAGAGTATATCCGTTTTTAAAGTACTCTACACAGAAAAACACATAAATGAATACATTAATAACCCCAACTTTTAATTACTGTACACCCATATGTTAAGTAGTAAGGAATGTTTTTTGATATCTTTCAACCTAATATTTGTAATTTAGTTTAATTCAAATATAAGAAAGTGTTGGAACAGATTAGTTGAAAGATATACACATATCCTATGAACTTTGTAAATATTAGTTCGCTTTGTGAATGAAAATGTTGTGATACCTGGGGTGCAGATGCCGCCAACGGAGTTCCTCCGCGGCGACCCGACGTAGGCCAAGCCCAGAATTCCGCCCTCGAACTTGAGGTCGGTGAAGAGGTGCGCCAAACAAAAGTCTTTGTGGCTGTATTCCCGACTAAAGACCTTCGTTTTAGCGCGCGCAGCACAAACAGAACAGAGACAATGGACACCATTTATGATCAGTTAGTAGGCATATGAAAACCGGTAAGCGTTATTAATGAGGCTATGCAATGAGAAAACTGTACTGAATAAGCGTAATAAAGAAAAATAAAATAATAAATAACCCTTGGAACAGATGCCGCCATGCGAGCTTCTACGGCTGGACGAAATATAGGCTAACCCGAGGACAACGGAATCGCGCGCCAGGAACGTTTGGTATGTGAATAAATGGGCCAAACAGAAATCCTTGTTCTGTCTTTGCCGTGAAAAGGACTATAAAAGAAACAAATAGAGGAGAGAACGAGAAACGTAAGTGCAAAACATAACAAAAAAATAAATAATAATGTTGAAATGCAAATCATAGGTATCCTACCTCCAGAAGATTTCTAACATCCCATTTGTCCCTCATCATATTGTAATGAGCTTCGCCTGCCCTGACACGGGTCGCTTCATTGTGTACCACGATCTTCTTAATAACGAAACCCATGCCTTTAAAACCGTCCACCTCCTGCCTATCGTGCCAAATTGTATCGTTGTATATCTTATGCACACGATCTATCAAGCTTATCTGCAATTCAAAGACAATTATAACGATTCAAACTCAATTTTCACTGGAATTTACTAAATAATTGATGGTCGTTTTCGTGTTGCTTCCGCCCATTTCTTGGAAGAACCTGTAGTCCGCCACAAGTAGGAGAGGACACCTGGTTTTCGTGGGAGTGTATTCGTATTGATCAACCTGTCTCTTCTCCCTGTGAACCTCGGATGTCCAAGGGCTAGGCTCCACATCCTCGTCGCTCTCCATTTCAGCGCCTTCCTTAATATACCCGCAAGTCTTCGGTGCAATATCCGCGTAATCCTTATGATCCCAGCTAAACTTTACATCTGATTCCTTATAGGCAATCATCGTTCTATTATCCAAATGCGGCAGATGCCTCCAAGACGGCTGCAAAAGTCACACGAAACATTAGCAAATTACAATACAAGCAAATAAAAACGTACCTCTATGTGATAAGTCTCGTCAGGCAAATGAATGCTACCAGTCATAACACCATCATCAATATGCAGACTGGCATGAGATGAAACTTCCCCAAACACTCTGCCATCATAAAACTGGTCATGATCCAAATGGACTGTGGTCTCTTTGCCGTCACCATCCACTGTGTAGGCTTTAAAATTGGAATGCAGAACACCTCTCTTTGGGGTCAAGATCACCCTGAAGTTCCTACCCAGAGCATCAAAGTTAACTTCTTTGATTTTATTGAAGGGATGGTCACTCTCCTTCAGTCCCCTCTTCACTATCTTGTGAGTCAGCTTATCAGCATGGAATGTTTCATAATATTTAAGGTTTTTGTGAATTGCTGCAACTACAAATGAATGCATTCATTAATTAATAATAAATAACTACCATTGTTGTTTTAATACCATTCAAGCAGACTGCAAGTAGTAACAATACTGTTGGACAAGAAACTATCTTTAAAGCCATTGCAAAACGTTTAATTATAATCTACCATAATAAATATATATATTGACCATCATCTACACTATTGTTGACAAATAAACTACCCACAAGAACTGTCAGACAAACGTCAAAACAACACAGCTGATATTTCTGTAGTACCGATCGGTGCCAGTAGGTTGTGCTAACATAAGTATGATTCATACTCGTAGAGGAAAGAAGAAGAGTTTCATCTTTAAGCCATTATCTAAGCGATAATTAAATCTGATTACATAAATGTATTATTCTTACGGTCTAATTGAATCTGTTCGTCGTGCGATTTCTTCGTCGGTTTTCAAGCCGGAGACGAAGATAAATTAAGGAGCGCTTTCACGTTTCTTTTACTTTCTGTACATTAATTACTAATTTGTTTTTATTTTACAAAAGACAAACGTTTCTAATAGAAACAAGCAAGTGTCACCAACTCAAAGATATACATAATTATTATCATTTTGGAGCAAATTATAATTATTTTCATTATTACGTATTTTGATTTTATCGCATTTATTTGATAATGTTTTGTCATCATTACGTGCTTGATTAAATATTTGGGAATTCTCATTGTAAAATACGTTCAAAGTGACACGTTTTAAGATAAGATTACGTAATTGAGATTTCGTCAAGGCTTTCGCACATAATATCGGCGATAAAAAGTTTGGAAAATTTGATTTTGTATTTAAATGAATGCGCGTAGTCTGGAAATGTTGCATCGAATCAATTGAATTCGATGCAGTATGCAAAAAAAATAATTTTAAATCATCGGATAACTCGATTTAAAATTTAAAGAGTTGTTGAAAGTTTGAAATTTTAGTTTTAATGTTGTTTTTTTTTCCTGTTGGCTATCGTGTTTATCGAGTATTGCGCGACGCGACGGTTCCTAATTTCACTCGAATGAGTGTTATCTTTCCGCTGCTTTGTTACGAATTTTTGTCCACCAATTGTATTGTTTCAGTAGTTGTAGAATAAACGAGTCGTCTGCATTCTCCACAAGGAGAGTTCGTGTTCATACACTTTGGGTAAACTTTATCGTCACATAATGAAATCGTTCGTATTGGCCGCAACGGCGATCATCCTGCTCGCCGGTATCGCCGCTGCCCACGAAGAAGACGTCCACACGGTCCAATACAACGTGGACAACTTCGAAGATGAGGTTGTCAAAAACAATCACTTCGTCATGTTCTACGCCCCTTGGTATTAAATTTCTATTTCAATTATAATCCAATTGGAAGTGATACAGGTTATACTAATCAATCGTGTTTATTTATTTCATTTAAGGTGCGGACATTGCAAACGTTTGGGACCAACGTGGGAGGAATTAGCTGAGATGCTGAACACGGAAGGCAGCAACGTACGCATCGCCAAAGTCGACTGCACCACCGATGGGGACGTCTGCAATGCCAACGACGTGACCGGATATCCGACCCTGAAGTTCTTCAAGATCGGTGAAAAGGAGGGAACAAAGTTCAGGGGAACCAGAGATTTACCCTCACTGACGACTTTCATCAACGAGCAGATTAATATGGTATAAAAAAAAATCGAGAATTGATCAAAGAATATTTTAAATTTGTTTTTTATTGTTACATTACTAGGAAGGTCATGGGGATGAAGTGCCAATTCCAAAGAACTCTGGTGGACTGACTGAGCTCACCGAAGATAACTTTGAGAAATTCGTCCAGAGTGGTAAACACTTTATCAAATTCTATGCACCTTGGTGTGGACATTGCCAGGTAAAATACTTAATTTATGGTTAAAAACTTGGATTGAATAATTATTTGTTTCGTTTAATTTTAGAAATTGGCGCCAGTTTGGGAACAATTAGCTAAGGATATTGATGCCGAAGGTGTGGTGAGGATTTCGAAAATTGACTGCACGCAGTACCGTTCGAATTGCAATATGTTCGACATCAAGGGATACCCATCGCTGCTCTGGATTGAAGATGGAAAGAAGGTGCAAATTGAAGCTGACAATTTTCAGTGCATCGTTTTTTTTTCATGATTTTTTTTTTGCTTTAAAGGTGGAAAAGTATCAGGGAAGCAGGGGTTTGGAAGAGCTGAAGGATTACGTTAACAAGATGGTCGGCACGAAAAGCACTTCGAGCGATGATATTAAGGAGGAGGATAAGGAGGAACCCAGCAGCGTCATGCTCTTGAACGGCGACGATTTCCAGCACGGCATCGAATCCGGCATCAGCTTCGTCAAGTTCTACGCCCCATGGTAATAAGCAACATTCGCGATTGTCATGAAGAGCGTATTAAAATTTAATTTAACGCAGGTGCGGACATTGCAAGCGACTGGCGCCGACGTGGGAGGAACTCGGCAAGAAGTTCATCGGTAATCCGGAGGTGGACATCGTTAAAGTGGATTGCACCCTGGAGGTGAACAAGCAGCTTTGCAACGACCAAGAGGTATGGAACAAATGAAACGACTTTTTTTTTCTTTTAACTAAGGGTGTATTTAATTTTATTTTGTTATTCAATTCGCCAGGTCGAGGGATTCCCGACAGTGTTCCTATACAAAGACGGCAAGAAGATCTCGGAGTACAACGGTAACAGGAGTTTAGAAGATTTGTTCGATTTCATCAAGAAGCATATGGTCGAGCACGACGAGTTGTAAAATGAGGAGCCGCCGAGGTTGTAGTTCATTATTACTTCTTTTTTTTTACAGAGTGTGCAGTTTTGTTGTTATACTCATTCCACACGCATTGTTCTCAATATCTGTTTACTACTTTGTTCGTGTATACTTTTGTTTAGTCGAATTATGTGTGCGTTTGTTTTCGCATTTATACCGTTTCTGCAGAATAGAACTTACTGTACGACTTTTTAAACTATTGTATTCTTGTGCGTCGGTACAATTTTTTTTTACTATTTTGCCTTTACCTTCCTCTCTCTTTTTTGAACCCTTGATATGATTAGACTATAGTTACGGTTATTGTTTTCGCGCTACGGTTTTACTGGACCACTATTGGCTGCGGCCTGTTTATCCAACCGTTGAACGGCATCTGGTTGGCGTGGACGAGCGGTCTTTCCTGGAAATTATGGCCGTGCAGAGGGAAATCGATCCTCTTCGCCGTGCCGTAGCCCCTCTGAACGACGTTCACCAGTTTGGTGTGCGGCTGGAATCCTTTCGCCTGGACGGTTACCTTGTACGTGCCAGGTGTTAACAAACGGTAGTAATCGCCGTCGTGCGCTGAAAATTCGTCAATTTCAGTAAAAGAGGCTTCTTTTATAATGATAATTGTTATAATACCTGATAGAATGTCGTGCTTGATCTCGCGCGGTATTCCTTCGGTCATGTTCGTCACGTGGACGACTGCATTGGGCACTCCCTGCTTGGTGTTCGCATCGTAGACGATCCCTTTGATACCGATGTGACTCTGCGCAACGTTTTAAAGCTCAACAACTTTTTCACATCAAAATCAATCGACGAAATGTACCTGCCACATGTAATTCATCAGAGCGTTCCTGTTGCGCTCCCATTCAGGTTCCAGACGAGACGCTGGTGGATACTTCTGGCACGACAACTCCAAAGTGATTTCGAAATCGTTGCTCGCCAGATAATTGAAATCCTGCATTCCTCCAACGAGTGCGTACCATTTGGCGCCGTTCGTGATGCCACCGTTCTTCGCGAAGTTCTCATCGTTGCACGGCTTCATATTTGGATCGGCCATGTCCGCGTGGTGCTGCGAATAAGCCTTCGCCAAATGTCTGCACAAACACAAAATCAATTTTTATTTAAAAAAAAAATACATTTAATTTGTATATTAGAAACTTGTTAAGTTGTGCATATGTTAAGTAATGAAAACTGGAACGAATTAACAACATTTTTTGTCGAAAATAATTACTAATAATAACTAATTTACTAGATAAGTCTGCAGCATTCCATGACACGAGAGTTAAAGTTCACATAATATTTGCGAACTTGCGAACTTTTTTTGAGCACTTCAAAATATGATAGAGTGAAAATCAATATTCTATAATTAAACTGGATGAGTGCATATGTAAATTAAGATAAAAGATAAAGCTACGGTGACGCAGGTAAATTTAAGCATTTTGTACAGGGTGTTCAAAATATATCTTTACGATTTTGGTTTGTCTTCAGTATAAAACGGTGTGAAAAATTGATTTAATAAATCGGTGAGTATTGTAGATGTAATACTTTTAATTAATATGTGTTTACCTGAATGTTTCATCGTCTGGTGCAGATGCGTACTCGCCGGTTTCCTTACCGGAACGGCTCAGATCGTAGGGATAATTTGCGACTAGATCTCCACCGTGCAGAGTCGCAGAGAGGACGTAGGGGATCTGCAGGATGTTGCGGATCAGGGAGCGCGTTTCCGGTTGCAGCTGCATGAATATTAAAGAGATCAGAGATGAAACATCAATCTCGAAGATTGTTGATTGAGAATAATTACCGGTTGCGTAAGGCTGTTGACTTCCTTCAGGAGATGATTGTTGTCCTCCTTGCTGAACTCCTCGTTGCTGTAGGCGATGCTATTCAAATCCGGGAAATTCCTATTGAGATCAACGGAATTGTTGTTGTACCTGCCGATGAGTTCATGCTGTCCGCCCTGCGATGTAATTCAAGATGAAGATTTGTTATTATGATTGTTGAGTTATTTTACCGTGTCCGTCGCTAGTTGCCATCCATCGGGATTCACTGAAGGCATCAGATGGATGCGGGTGTTCCGGACGAGGAAGACCACTTCCGGATTTCCTGCCCTGTACTGTTCGCACAGGTAGTGCGCGAGTTTTAGAAGGAGTTCGCGTCCGAGCACTTCGTTTCCGTGGATGTTCGCGACGTACTTGAATTCCGGATTCACTGAAAAAGTTAATAATAATAATAATTTTCATATTTTTGTTCCGAAAGTGCTGATTACGTACGGATCTGATGTCGACCCGGATGCTTGGAGAACTCGATGTAGTACAGCGGCGTTCCCAAAACTGATGGTTCGGTGAGCGTCGCGACGCGCGACACGTCCGAGCACTCTCCGGCGATGTCCTCCAGCACGAGCCTCATCTCCTCGTTGTCGTGGTGACGGAATTCGAAGGGTTTGAGGAGGCCCTGCGACCGTCCGACGAGACCCATCAATGATAAAACTGCTAGAGCGACGACTGCCGCCGCCATCCCCGTTGAAGAAGACATCGCGACTGGACGAGTTCTCGACGTTCCTCGCGGAAAATCGATGCTCGGAGGTTCGGCCGTGTGCCACCTGTTGTCGGTGCGTGGGAGCTTTTATCTGGAAATCCCTTGAATTTTCTCCCTTTTCCTCTACTCGCACTCTCTCACTGACGCACGCAGAACTACTTGGATCGATGGCACTTGGATGAACGATGAAGGAGCGTGGGTCGTCGTAGTTAATTAAACTTTGCCCAACAGCAAATACGAACAACACTTTAACGATAACCGCTTCGACAGCTATTTTTAATATGCATAGTTCACGATAAACTTGCACCAAATTCGCATCAATTTCTAGAGAAATTGCAGCAATTACCGTGCCTTCTTTTTTTTTCGTTTTAGTCTGGACTGATAACAATTCTACATTCTGTTTGTTATAAATTAGTTAAAATATTCACTATTCGAACAAACAAAGACTTTCAATTTAACAACTTCATTAATTATAATATCTACATAATCAGTCATACAAAAAAAAACATATACAGAAATAAAAAGAACAAAAGTATTTCTGCTCATAATCAATATTATTTATACTTTAATTATTACTGTTATTGCAAATAATAAATGTTCATCAGTTGTCTTAACAAGCATACATGAATTATCATCATATGAGAATAACATTCAATTTAGGAAATGAGGGTTTATTCTTTTAGTATGCATCAAAATAAACGCCAGATAAGAGTACTTCTTTTATTGTTTGCGCAATTCAGTTCAAACTGATAGAACCCGCAAAACGCTGCTCCAATTTGTTTGCAACACTTGAAATATGCAGAAATGTTGACTATTTATACATTTTCCAGGTAGACAATTTTAACAGTAAATATTTACTATCGATAATTGACGATAATCATACACAAAATATTTGTATGTATAAAGTAAAACGTAATCTACTCAATAAATAAAAATTCCTAGAGATTCGTATAAATATATAAGACGCGTTGAATAAATACCGCGTTATTCGAGGTTTAACTGTACAATTCAATTAGTTCGTATCAACACGACGTTTCACTTATAAATCTAGAACACATTTGTTCTCTCTAAAACATTCCATAGATTCCTTGTAACACGTGCACATGAATATTGATTATATTTAATTTGTTTTATTAAAATTTTATAAACATAATTTATGAAAGAAACTTAACCAAATCGAATTAGAAATTATGATTTAATTAATTATTATTTGACCTTATATTAGCGCTATTATGATTTTTAATTAAGCTAATTTAAAAATTAGAATTTTTGAAAATTGTGTAATATGTTTACAGTTGGCAATAGAACTAACTTTTTTTTGTACATGGATTTGAAAAGGTTTTTTTCTTTGATTGAGAAAAGGCTCAATAATGTCGGAGACAAACGCAACATTTGTTTTCCTAAGAAAGGATTTAACTTTATGTATTTTATTTGTGTTGTTCGAAGTCGCTTTAGCAAAAAATTGTTACATTTAATTAACTATAAATTGGTAGCATATCTGATAGAGAATCATCGCACGATTGTAACCCTTTGGGGAAATCTATCTCATATAAAGAGTTTAAGTTAGAAGGTTTGTAGCAGTTTATAGAGGCTCGCTGCTTCTTGGTATGAGTAGTTGCGTCTAATCATAATTTCTTTTATGTCTTTCTATTTGGGGTATTTTGCGATTGTGGATGGTTGTGGAGATTGGTGGAGATCCATGGTTATGAAATAGAGTAACTGTTTTGGGTAACAGTATGTAAAAAAATGTAAAATTTAAATTTTCTAAATGTGGAATAGGAAACAGCAGTGAAGTCGGTCACGAATCACGACGTTTCTGTCAAGATCGTCTTCGCCTCGATTCATAGCCAATTGGATTCTGTCATTCGGAACAATTCTTAGTTCTGTAAAATTTCTTCGTAAAACTATTCCAATAAACCAGTGAAAATGTCCGCACCCGCTCTGCCAGCACCAGTGAACGTTTCCCCATTGATCAGGGTAAGTTGAGCATGGAACATTTGTCATCAATCGATCTCGATTCGGATCCGCTGATCCATAGTTACATAACCAAAGACAGCAATCCCCCAAAAGTCCAAGAACTTAGTTAAGACTGAAATAAACAAATCGCGAATGGAGGCAACAGTAATGCATAATAATTCTCGTTTCAGTTCGGTCGTTGGGGCCTCCTCTCTGCCGGCATCCTCTACGGCATGTTCCACCAGAACAGGCTCTCCAAGAAGGAGACTGCCTTCAGGGAAATTGAGGGCAAACAGAAGGTAATCCGCGATGCTCAATTGGCTGCCGAAAAGAAGCTGGCCTCCGAGAGGGAGATGAAGAACTTGGAGGATATGATGACCACAAAGAAGTAGAGCATCGATTTGTAACTAATTATTATATCGTACATAAGAATAAAATGTAGTAAAAACACAGTAATCCATATCTAACGATGGTATTATCTTTTTGACATAGTCACTTATGTAATTCCAATTGGATTTGATTCTAAATCTTCAATAAAGCTAAATCGGTTGCATACCGACTATATTATGTAAGGTGGTCGACAGTAAGTCTGGTTGCTTGCACCTAAGTTACTTGATAATTGTAGGATTAACACATCTCGAAAAGCAGTTCTCATTCGATAATTTTAAGTTTTAAATATAAATTTTGCATTGTATATTGGATCGATGTGTTGCATAACTCATTGTTTATTTAGTTGCATAGTTTGTATGTTAGTTATTCTCACCGCCAATTGGACGGTTTCAATCAATTTAGATAATTCAAAAGCTGTAATCACTTATGCAACTTTAAAATGAAGGGCATTGGTCTATTTTAGATTTAAGTACTTTTTTTGATGCGGGGTAAGTTTAAAAACAAAGTTTTCAACAATCAATAGTGATCTAATAAGATTTTTTTATCTCGTTTCAAATTGGAATTTGATTATGGATGTTTCGCAGGGTTGGCAACCGGTTTTCCCCACCTCTGACGGAAGGCGAGTAAATAGACGGAATGGGCTGCCAACTGACGAAAAGTGAGTCAGTGCAACACGAGCAGCTGATGCGTGCTGGATGGTTTCGAAATATGTGCGACCGCGACGAACGTAGGTAATTTTGGATTGCAAATCACGCAACAACGAGCGCACGGGAGGAGACGACGATTTCCACACGGCGCAAAGAACAGGAGCTAGAAATGGCTCTACTCACCGGGACCATCGCCGTCCTGGGCTCCATCTTCTTCACGCCATTTTTGATGTTGCTCCTCTGCATCATATTCCTCGCCTCCATAGGAAAATCCATCGGAGTGCGGAGGCTGTACATCAAGCTGCTGCTGATGATCTTCGAGGTACGTTACCATCAACCTCATCTTCAAACAGCAACAACATCTTACAAAAGAAAAGACGCAAAACAAATATCAATCTTGCGAAGCGCCCTCAGAACGCACAATTGATTTAGCGTGATTGTTTTTTTTTTCTTCTGTTGTTTTTCGTTTGCATGTCTTTGCTGCCTTGATTTCGCAAATTTCTCCACGTCGACCCTAATAAATCACCACCTTTATCCACGAAATTTGCTAAATCCAGATAAGAGATTACATAAATTAGAAACACTCCAGGTTTCTTCAAATGAATTCAAGTCCATGTTCAATAATATAGCATGCATGAAACGATTAAGGCTAAATCGTCGTAGTTTTCTGCACGAGCTTCTGCAACTTTCGATTTCCATCAAAATCCAATTATGTAATAAATCCAATTCGAGTCGTCTTGTTTAATTAATTTCGACTACTGATTTCCGTCCATTCAACTCGACCAACTGTTGGAGTCACTTGCACTCCACTATTGACGTAAAATTGTATTTACTTCTCAAACAATTTCCAGAAGAAAGTTCAATCAATAGATGACTAATAAATCAATATATTTTGATGAAGCTTCAACGTTCTATATTCTATATCTATACGATTAGATTAGAAATTTCAAAGGATTCCTTAATTACACGAAATTCAAAATTTACACAAAAAAAAACGATGCTAATGAATCAAATTTCTAATTCACTTTTTACACTTGAACGGAATTATTAAAATTACTCCTTTTTTTTTACATTTCTTATTCAAATATTCGTATTTGAAAATATTCGCCGTTTTCCATACGGACTTTGGACGCCAAATAATAAGCCATAACGTATTAAAAATAATTATATGAATATTATTATGATATAAAAAAAAAACTGCCTAGAAAAGTCTATTAATATTTATTATTTCGAATCAAATAAAACAAGAGTCTCATTGAATTTTATAAACTATTGTTTTGTAGAATTTATTGTACGCATTAAGTAGATTTATCGTGGACTACGTTAGAATTCAAGGACAAAATCCGAGGCAAAAGCATTTTTTTTTAAAAGACCGTGTAAACTCTGTTTTAATGTGTACCGAAAAACGAGTCGTAATTGCATTGACCACAAAGATACACTTTTGTTTATAGTGTGTAAGAATGTTATTTGCTTTGTAAGTGATATTTAAATAGTGGTAATGAAGATTCATGTAATAATTATATATTTAAGTGTGTAGTCCACATTGAAGTCCTACGTGCATTTTGGACTACGACGATTAATCAGTTGTAATTATTAACTTTCTAAAAATATCGACGGGGCTTTGGACTTTTGTTTTTTTCGGTCAATTGTGTGCTTCACGGTGTTTTTTTGTGTCGTTATCAGACTGCAAACAGTTGGTTTTAAACTATGTAATCTTATCGTTGAATTTTTTTTGTTGTCCTCTACATAATTAATTATTATGAACTCTATGGACTTTCCCTCACTACATAGTTGTGGATGTATGTATGTAACTTTTGTACTTTGATTGGCAGGATCGTTGCGACACGCCAACTACTAAACTACGGAATCGTTGTCATATAGGCAAACAAAATATTTTTTGTTTGTTTTCACGTTGAAATTGAGCAAGCATACATTTGAACTTTGGAGCGATCCTACTCTCGTTGGGTGCTCACCGAAAAACACAGAAATGATTAATAATTGCTGTGAAATATGTTAGAAATTAGATAATTATGTTGCCTTTCATTGATCATTATTTCATTTATTTTAGTTTTGGTGTATCTAGATTGTTTTATTTGTAAGTGGGATGAAGTGTAGTAAATATTGAAATTGTGGGTGGGCTCGATTATGATTGAATGGAATTTTCAGGTCGGGTCAAGAATTTTCGGCGCTAAATATAAAATCGGTCGTCCTTGGCGGCCAAGGTTGGAGACGATGTGTTCGTTTTCTGTATAAATTAATTTGACATTTATTTTTAGTATGGAAGGGCCAACATCGAAACTGCGCAAAAGAATGCCGGATTGGCGTTGCCCGCGGAATCGGAGGACGAGAGCCACGGGTCGAGCAATAAGACGGCGGTGACGAGCCAGCAGCCGCAGATAAATGGTATGAAGAAGACGGACGTCGTCCTCACCAACGGTAACACGATAAGCCGCGACGACAAGCACATCCTCGTCCCCGATCTGAAGAACGGATCCGATGATGAGGCAACAGTCGACAAGGACGATTTCGATCTGTCCAACTGCTTCGATTACATTAAGGCCGGCATGGAGGCGATTATTGAAGACCAGGTGACGTCCAGGTTCGAGGCGGAGGAGCTGAAGAACTGGAACCTGATGACCAGAACGAACAGGCGGTACGAGTTCATCTCGTGGCGTCTGACAGTCATATGGATGTGCGGCTTCATCATCCGGTACTGCTTCCTGTTCCCGCTGCGCGTCGTCATCTGCTTCTTCGGGGTGAGTTGGTCCGTCGACGGCCGTCGCTTTTCCACTACACATATTTCAGATATTTTGATAACTTAACTTCGGTGCATCGATGATGATCATAGATCTGTTGGCTGGTTGCCTCCACCGGTCTCCTGGGCACGATTCCTGATTGTCTGGTGAAGAGACACCTAAACTACTGGTGCTACATGGTGGCATTCCGCGTGATGGCGCGCGCCCTCTCCGGAACGATTTACATTCGCAACAAGCACTTCAGGCCAAAGTGCGGGGGCGTATGCGTCGCCAACCACACCTCCCCCGTCGACGTGCTCATCCTCTCCACAGACAATTGCTACTCCCTGGTGAGACGAGACGACACGATCTACAAAATACTGCTGTTTGTCCGTCGCGGCGCTATGGGAAATCGCCTCATGTCTATTACGATTTATACGAATATGTCTTGTTGTTTGCGCCTCTTGTCCGTACCCTTATATATTATCTGTTTGCTTTTTCTCTCTCTCTCTCGTGTGTCCATCGCGTGTGCAGGTCATGTGGCTGACTTTGTGCACGGCCCTCGTAGGATACCTCGCCGATGGGCCCTTTAAGCAGTGGCTGAACAGGCGTATTTCCATCATGTGCTTTGGGATATTGTCCGCAGCTTTGTCCTCGGTCATCACGTACCACAACGAGGGAGAGAACAGGCCCAGCGCTGCCGGCATCTGCGTCGCCAATCACACATCGCCCATCGACGTGCTCGTCTTGATGTGCGACAACTGTTACTCACTGGTATGGGCTCCACTTTCAAAACGAACGAACGAAAACTCTATTATTCCATTTGTACCGTTTCGTCTGTTTGTTGTTACCGCTTTGTTTCTATTTGTTCCTCTGTTCGAAAGAGCCGAAAATCACATGAATTTGCTTACACGATAGATCGGCCAGAGGCACGGTGGATTCCTGGGCGTTCTGCAGAGGGCCTTGGCTCGTGCATCTCCGCACATCTGGTTCGAGAGATCCGAAGTGAAGGATCGGCACGCCGTTGCAAGAAAGTGAGTATTACATTACTCTCCCAATCTATTCAATCCTTATCTATCTATGAAAACATTACTATACGCTGATACGATACTACTATAAACATTTTTTTTTATATATTGCATTGCATAATCGAAAAATCTGCAATCTCAGCGTAATGCTACCACCTAAATACTTGACTTGACCTAAAATTAATTCTCAAATTGAAATGTTGTGCAATTCCGTTTTGTTCTTATCGTAATAATATAAAAATGATATATTTATCAATGTACATAAACGTTCAAAATCAGACGAAAACAATGGATTTCAATATAAAAGTTGTAACATTTAAATTTCGAAAATGAATTGAAAATGTTACTCCTTGATTGTCTCTTTAATAGAACTATTTTGCTAAGTAGCTTATAAAATTATATAGAAATGTTTGTATCACAGTGACAAAACACAAATTTAATCATTCAATTATGGAAATATATGCACAAGTGCACAAAACAAGAAAACGAGAACTCATCGTCAATTGATTGATTATTTTTATAACTAAAATAAAATAACTATCATTGATCATATTTATTAGAAAATAATAAATTTTAAAATTTCAAAATAGTTAATTTTAACAACCAACATTAAATTCGTATTTATTACTTATTTTTTAATTGCATTATTTACGTGTGTGCAAATGTGCGTCCTCCAAATATCGAGGTTTCGATTTTTAAGGTGTGCGAATAACCAGTTTTTTTTTAATATTTGTTTTTAACGCTGAAATGCCATAAATTCAATAAGAGAAATTCGCGTGAAAACGTAAAATGATACTGGGACAAGGAAAGCAAATTAAATGAATTATCGGTGAAAACGAATGTTGTTATCTCGCCAATTGTTACGTAACACGCGTGCGATGAACCGTGTGATTATTGCGTAACGCACCGCGTTATCTTCTGCATGCGAGGAGAAGTCTTCTTTCAATGTTGAAATTTCTTGTAAACCGTCTTCGATGTTCGCTAATTTCTCAGCACATAGTTTTGCTGCGCCCTAGGTTATCGCAGGTTTTGTTTGCTTTCCAAGGAACAAAACAGATGTCAATAGCAGAGTTGCATAACTATTTTTTTTTATACAAAATTAATTGCAAGAATTACTTGATTATTTTCAATTTGTTGTTTATGTTAATATCGTCAGATTATTGTAAAAATCTGTTTTTTTTTTCTCTATTGACATAAATGTGAAATTTATCTCATTTATCAATATTAATTTAAGGTTTTGACCATCATTTCTCAAGTCAAACCATTGCATATAACAAATGTTATACTTATGTAACTTATTAATTTAAGGTTTTGACCATCATTTGACGTTTGTCATGTCAATCAATTACATATTACAAATGTAACTTATCGACATTAATTTAAGGTTTTGACCATTATTTTGACGTCTGTCATGTCAATCAATTACATATTTCAAATATAATCTAACTTATCAACATTAATCTAATGTTTTACATCATTTCTCATGTCAAACCATTGCATATAACAAATGTCAAACTTATGTAACTTATCGACATTAATTTAAGCTTTTAACCATCATTTTGACGTTTGTCATGTCAATCAATTACATATTACAAATGTCATACTTATGCAACTTATCGACATTAATTTAAGGTTTCGACCATCATTTTGACATCATTTCTCATGTCAATCAATTACATATTACAAATGTCATACTTATGTAACTTATCGACATTAATGTAAGGTTCTGACCATCATTTTTCATGTTAATCAATTACATATTACAAATGTCAAACTTATGTAATTTATCAATATTAATTTAAGGTTTTGACCATCATTTGACGTTTGTCATGTCAATCAATTACATATTACAAATGTCATACTTATGGCAACTTATCGACATTAATTTAAGGTTTTAACCATCATTTTGACGTTTGTCATGTCATTCAATTACATATTACAAATGTCAAGCTTATGTAACTTATCGACATTAATTGAAGATTTTGTCATGTCAATCAATTGCTTGTTGCAACTTAAAAGGAAACGAATAGATTATGTGTCTTTGAAAAAATTGACTGATCCAAATTGATGTTGTTTTTTGTTTTGTGTCAGATTGAAGGAGCACGTGTCGAACCCATCGAATCCGCCAATTTTGATCTTCCCGGAAGGCACGTGCATCAACAACACGTCCGTGATGCAGTTCAAGAAGGGCAGCTTCGAGGTGGGTAGCGTGATCTACCCGGTGGCGATCAAGTACGATCCCCGGTTCGGGGATGCGTTCTGGAACAGCAGCAGGTACTCGATGATGCAGTACCTCTACATGATGATGACCAGCTGGGCGATCGTCTGCGAGGTGTGGTACCTTCCGCCGATGCACCAGAAGGAGGGCGAGAGCGCCATCGACTTTGCGAATCGCGTGAAGGGCGTCATCGCGAAGCAGGGCGGACTCGTAGATTTAGTTTGGTGAGTGCAACGAATATTTAAATTTAACGAACGGTTAAAAATTTATTTCTCTTTTTTTTTTTGGTAGGGATGGGCAGCTGAAGCGGGTAAAGCCGAAGAAGGAATGGATGGAGCGGCAGCAGGAGGAGTTCAGCAAACGGCTCAAAGTGGAATAATGACCAATTTGAGACGCGACAAAAGCAGCACACAACTTGTACAGCCCATAACTAAAAGAAACTACAACAAACAAACAAGCAACAACAGAGCCCTTTTCTTTTTTGTTTTTTAAATTAATTTCTTTCTAATATTATTATCATTATTATTTTAAGTTCTAATTTTATTTGATGTATATATATATATATGTATACCACGTACACAAAAACTCACAAAAATCTTCAAAATGTCACTGTTTCCTTTCTTAAACTTACGTTTTCTGCATTTATTTATTTATACAATACTTTCACTTTAGCCCCTTACAGGTTCCCACCTGACTGTTAGGTTTTTCTTATAATTTCCCTCTTGTAAATATTTTTGTTTGTTTAATTAATATTAATACTATTATTATTTTTTATCTATTAAGTATGAGATTTTTCCTAGTGATATTTTTATACAGATTACTCTTACTACCTATTTATGAATGAAAACGGCGCAGGAAGTGGTGAAGAAAAACTGAAATGTTGATGGTGACGAACGAAAATATATGTGTATATATATATATTTGTATAATTGCATACGATTTTGATTTTTTTTTTCATTATTTTCTTCTGTAATTACCGCTTCGTGTAGTTCGGATTCCGTAGTAAGTGAACAGAGACACCAAAAGAAGAATGAACCCTGGGGGAACGAAATGAATGTTGTGTTTTTGTTTTTTTTCTATTTCATAGTTTCTCCAGCCGCAAGCCTAAAGAATATTATATAATTATTATTATTATTGTTGTATTTTGGAGAAAAAAAAATTGAACAAATAAAATCGAAGACTGACCAACAACTTAGAGAACACAGTAAAACACACATGTAAGACATATATATACACACACACATATATACAAGAAAAGGAAAACAATTATATATGGTGGAATTCATTTCATTAGATAGTAGAAAACTACCTTTATCTAATCACATCCCAAAATCCATTAACTAATCTAATTAGTAACTTTATATAGTCATAACTATTAGCAGAGAGAAACTGCACAGTCTTTCGTTGTAGAAGAATAATCATATCCAACAAAATCAAATCAAAAATTGAATGTAATTAAAACGTCTTGTTTTTAAATTTTAATCATTTTTTAGTGAGTGTTATTTGCTAAATTGTTTCTTGTTTTTGACTTTTTAAACGTCAATTTTGACACATTATCAAAATAATTTGAATCATTTGATTACGAGGTTCATTTTTTTTAATTATTATAGACTGATATAGTAAACAGTTATTTGTCCAAAAATTGTATTTTTCGTATGTGTTTTATGGCATTATTTTTGTTAATTTGACAACTTTAAAAAATAATTGGAATTATTGTATTAATATATAATATTTTATTAGATAATAGTTGTAGAATAATAAGAGATAATATTGTAAGTTATATGAGCTTAATTGATATAAGCAAAATGAAATAGATAATAATTTTTTGTAAATTGTCGTTGTCAATTTGACACTTTTCAAACCAAGTCGAATCTTTGACTAATAATATTACATTTATCCTAATGTCATAAATAGTTCAACAAAAGTCACAATGCAAATGTTTTACATGATTAAGTGTTGTTACATTAATATTTACTTCAACAATGAAGCAAATTGATATTTTTTTCAAAGAAAATCAATAGGAATATGACTTTTTAAATTGATACGTTATATCAGTGGTTTCCAAACTTGATGTTACTACGCCTCCCTCAAAAGTATGTAATCATTTGGCGCTTCCCCTTTCATAAAAGGAACGCGCATTACACCAATATGGATAAGAGCACAGGAATGTATCTACACTTGCTGGATTCCCCAAACATTCAACTTTTTCGAGCATTTTTTAAAATTTGAACACGAATTACAGGCAAGCGGCTAAAATCACAGTAATATATCGAT